GAGCAAAAGTTCTCAGAGAAAACAGACTTTCTTTAGACAGGAGGCTCAATAAAGAACGTCTGTTTTCTTTGAGAACTTTTGCTCAATTTGCGTTAATACTTAACACCAGTTTAACAGTCTATAATAATTTAAGTCCAAGTTGACAAATATAATAAGAATGATCGCATTTTAAAAGCAATTTTTGTGAACTTTGTAATTAATAGTGCACTTGAATAACACAGCAATTTAGTCATTACGATGGTTAACTGACTTCTAGGCCAACCTCGCTCAGTCTACGTTACAAATTTAGACACAGATTTGTCACGTGGATTGAACTTCTCTAATTTAAATCACCCGTGAGAGAAATTTGGACGCGATCAATCTTAACAGTGGTATTATTCCATCAAGATTTTCTGTAATAGCATTTCAAATACTTCCAGACATTCAAAATAACAATTAAATATATTTTAATCTCTACGCTGTAAAAGTAATGTTACTTAGAGCGTCATTAGCGAGCGTATTCTAAAATTGCTCCCGTACACGATTATGCACATTGACAAATGATTATGGCGTTATTAATAAACTTCTGCACGTATATAAGCAAGCAACAACACACGACACTTCTCACTAAACTATTAAAATTTATCTAAACTTATAAATCAATTTAATGCGTCAAACGCGAGTTTGATAAGGAGAAAATTAAATTCAAATTTATTTATTAAATCGTTTGATATATTTCCCGGATAAAAAAAAGAGAGAGAGAGGGAAAATCAGCAAATTTGGAAGTTAGGTCGCGCAGCTACTGAATTAATTTAAGAACAACGTACAGAGAACGGTGCAGAAGCCTCTTCCGTTAAGTTTTATCTAGAAATTTCAGATATGCAACGAGTTTGCTTTAATGAAATCGCTTTTCTCTTAATTAAACACCATTACACGGTATTTGTACTATGTGACAAGTCATGCTGGTTAAGAATTACAAATAATATAGGACTATATTTAAATATATGCTCGGCGAAGAACTTAATGGAGTTAGAATATCGAAATATATTGCCAGATAGAGATCTCATGAAGAGGGGGAAATAAATAGAGAGAGAGAGAGAGAGAGAGAGTACCTGATACATTATGTATTGAAGAAAATCGTTATATAACATATCACGTAAAATTTGGCGTTATAACATCTTCGGAATCCATATATATGAAATATTTACCAACGAAAAGAAATATCTTCTGATGATTCAATCTTACGGTTTAGTGTTACAACGGCCTATCAATAAATAAGAATTTAAAAAAGAAGAAAAAAAAGAGATGTCGAAAGGTCAGAAATGAATTTCGAATTCTTAACTGAGTTGTCTGGTCGAACAGTTGAAATGCTTCGTTCAAATTGAACTTGGTGCCAAGTAGAAGTGTAGATAACGATGATGTACGAGAACGAGGAAGCTTTTAAAGTTCGTGAAATATTAACACGGGTACCGGACTCCATTAATGAATTAGCCTATTAGTGTGCTACCATAAAGTGCGATAGAAAATATTAGAAGAATTCGTCTCGAAAGTGGGTCGGCTTAATTCTATTGAAGTGCCAAGAATGAACTGATTTTTATAAAATTAACTTAAAGAGATCTCTTCTGTTCGTTACCTTTGCCTGTCACGTTTAAGTGTTATGGATCTTTTACTGTCTTAAAATATTATAAAAGTTCTTTTTTTTTCAAGTTCTCCAATTCGATATACGCTCGATCGCATTTCAAACATCAGGACCGTAAATCTGGTAATTAAACATACCTCACGAAAATTACCGGGTATATAATTATCTCATGTTACAAGGAGTGATGGAGCAGCTATTGTTCGTGACGTACCCTAGTCGCATGTAAATATCACACGCTTAGCAACAAGCGAAAATTATAGTTCTACAATTTCATGAAGATGTAGCAAGAGTTTGAAAGAAAGTTCAAAGAAGAAGGAAACGATCCGAGGAGAGAGCAAAGTAATTTAAAATATCCTGACACTTCGAAACACTTAATTTCGTAGCTTTAATGGTTCTCCTCGCTAGACGGGGATATATTTCTACCTGGTCAGAAAATGAATAGGCCTACTGCAATTAGAAACGAATACAAAGAGCCTTTATTGCATCAAACAGATGCATAATGAGAAACATTCGGAGCTATTAGCTAGATTGGTTGTTAGATTAAGAGATATAGCTCCTCCTCCCGAATTGCTTGGCCTTGGCAGATCACGTTGCCTCGTGACATGTCAAGGATGGTCCCTATGACCACACAACTCGATCACAGAATGTCGATGATCTCGCATAAATTAATCTATAATGCTTAATAGGAAAATTAAATATGCTAATAATTTAATTGATCGACAAATTTGTTAGATCTGATACTTGCGTTCCAAACAGAAAAAACTAATGGCAAATGCGGTGTCATACACGTATCATATATATCTACTGCAGGAGATAATGTAAAGATACAAATCCACGTTCCAACTATTTAAATTCGATTATCGAAAAAATCCTTCTTTATTTTAAATAATATCACTGTACAGTATATAATCTCATATATAATTCGATTAAGCGTATATTTCAACAGTGAAAAATGGCTTTCGATCTGTTATTAAGTCATACGATATTAAAAAAATAAATTTATAGAGGTTCTATATGCAATAACCATTATAGTGAATGCTTTATAACCATATTGAAAGTCATTTAGCCTTCAACTATCCAATAAAGGCAATTTATTGAAAGCTATACATAATCCATTTGTTCAAGCTGGCAATATATACCGGTATATATATATTTTTTCTTACCATTAAAGAATCTGAATGCGGTTTGTGATGAATCATCTTGAATGACTAATGATGTTATCGATTACCGAAGCAGGATTTTCATCTATAAAATATCCAAATGAAAGAATTTATTTATATTTTTAACTAATTTTTCGTATCGAAACCAACAGAGTATGAGAAAAAATTAAGGTGTATATCAACGCGAGACATTAAGAAGTTTAAATACAAATCGATATTTATCGTATCGGAAAAACAATTCCGCAAACAACATAAACTTTCAAGCAGAGAGCATTATCTGATGTGTGTGTGTGTGTGAAATTGGGACTTTCTCGTGTTTCGGAATTCAAAGAGACTCACTCACTAAGCTAGATAAACAGTTGGTTTCGCTATTTACTGCAACTGACCTTGGTCGTTAATGTAAGAAATAAAAGCCAGTCTCGACCGAAACATAAATCAATGTTTTCGTGCATCGACGACTCCACCCACAAAGTGAATGTTTATTTTTGATTGGGGAAAGTCGATGACAGAACTCTATCGCCTTTTACCCCCCCCGTTCTCTTACAGAAGCAATAATCAAAGCAAAAACATCCTAAAGTTCTCGAACAGATATAAACAAAAAAAATTTACTGAGATAAGAAGGATTATACTTTCTAACCTTTAATGTTAAAATAATATTGTTATACCAAAAAAATTGACAATACTCCTAACTGTGCAATCAATTATAATCTATGCTAGATGTCTTCTATAAACTATCTCATATAATTCTTCTCCGTAACTTACTTCTTCGAATCATTTAACTATAAACCCTTATAAAAAATCGAATACGGTAAATTTTTTAAAATCAGTTTATTCTTGAGTTCCGGCTGTAATCTAACTGCTATCTAAAATATTAAAATGTTTAACTTAGGAGGGTTCTTAAAAGTTTAATTAACGTAAGTATGTTTCGAATTTATACTTATTCTTCCTTATTTCTCCTACGAATTTGATAAGTCAGCGAATAAGTGGATGGCCTGACAAGTTTTACTGCAAATTCAATGATAAGAGTGATATTTATTACCAGTGATACACGTTGCACAGAATAAAACGTTTTTTTTTTTTTTTTTTTTTAATCTTCGAATGAAGTGCGATAAGAAAATATCTCAGGAAATGTTAGTTAAATTAATTTAATTTTATGTATAAGTAAACGTTTAAGCTTGGACAAATGTAGAAAATTGATGAAACATGCTGATAGTAACAGATTAACCTGAATCATATATATGTATATTTAACTTGTATTTATATATTAACCGATATCAATTCTCTAAAGAAAATAAGCACAGTTGTCACAAGCTGTGAAGTGGACAATTCTGTTTATTGTTCTCATTTGATAAAATTTTTATAAGTATCATATTAAATTACAAGTTGAATAAGCTAACAATCTGCTAGTCGAATCTGATATGTTTAAGTATTATTTTAAAAATAATATTACAGATTTCAAGAACGTGAATTAATGAAAAAAAAGTGAGGAAAGATTTTTAAAAAATCAGGCAAGGTGGTTTTGATTCATAAACCGAAGTGCCTAGCACGATTTTGTATCTAAAAAGTTCTCATAGAAAAGTATAATCGCTCTGGGTTTCCTATCAATCCATAACCATCTGTTCGTATTTCTGAATCACTCCTATAACCTATGTGGACTGGAGTAACAACATCTCTGGAGAGATGCGCGATTTCTTACTCCCTGATGTAATTCATCGCTAAGAAAAGAAAAATATTCTAGCCACAACATCAAAACTATTACCTCACTTTATTCGTACTATCAGTTTAAAGATTCACTTTTCTCTCTTTAAGTTATGTCAAGAGGACATTTACACAAGCAGGACGGGCAAATTGCCTCAAACGCTTATTACGCAAATTGTATCAAATAAACCTTAATCGTTTATACAAAATTGAATTGGAAATCTAATAAAAGCTTTAAAATAACAACTTGAGATCAGCTTTGACGTTAGATATTTATAAACAGGAAGCACTGATATTTATGTTTATAATAGTAATTATATTAATTTCGCATATTAATTTTGAAAATTGATATTCTTTTATTCATCATTTATTTAAAAATCAATAAAAGCTAAATTGCTATCGTACAAACTTGTATATGTTACTTTGTAACATATTATGCATTATATTAGAGACGTATAATACAAGAAATCGTGCTTACCGATCGAATTTAACGTGTGTTTATTAGTAAAAGTGTATTTTCTTACCCCATAAGTCGATGTGTCGACTGAACTGAAGGTCTCGAAGTAGAAGTTGGATTTTTTGACGACAAAACAGGCGACAGAAGTGCCAAATATCCAATCAACAAAAACATCCATGTGATCATCTTTCTTTTNAAAAATTATGTATAAATCTGTATGTGGAAAATTCACTTGGAAAAGAAATTAATTTATAAGAATTATTTAATTAAATCTGGGAGAAGAATTTATTATATTTTTTAATTCGGAGGGCCTTCAAATGTCGAGAAATGCAAACAATTCGGGGATTTTTTTCTGCATTAATGTGTGGGGGCACGATTTTGTTCACCCGCTTTAAAGCTTAATAATTGCTGTGCCTTTTGTCGAAAATTTCTGAAATTTTGCAGGGAGGTTTGTGTATTAAGGGCATTGATGCCATTAAATTTTGGTGGTTAAAGGTCAAGGGGTGGAGATCGATAGAGCGGGTCACGTGACGCATCTCGAGTGGGATCAGACTTAATGAAAATTTTACTCGTTAATAGCATTTTTAATTTATTTTTTAAAATAAAACTCACCTCTCTCCACAATATTACAATTTTTGCCATTTTATAATAATAATAATAAAAGAAATATAAACCTTTTCCTTCCTAAAATAAATCAAAATAATAATAAATAATTAAGTATTTAAGTTTATATTTCTGCATTAAAGTCTACATAACTCTAGACAGTCATTAAGTTTCCGCATAAGCTCGAATTAAAAACAGTAAAAATTTATACCAAAATATATATAGTTACAGTTAATTATGCAGTTACTGTATAATTTTGGGTAGTTATATAGGTTACGGTGCATGTAGTTAGGTAACTTATATAACTATTGTATATATGCTATACTGTTAGCAGTATAAACTATACTGGTATATAGCCTTTAACAGTATAGTTTAGGCTATTTAGGCCTATAACTATACTCTTACCAGTACACCATATATATAGGCCTATATATATATACATATATATATATATATAACTATACTGCTAGAGTATAAGCTATACGAGTAATCACACAATTATAGTTATACAGTATAATTACTGTATAGTTACAGTTTATGCAGAAAAATGAAAGCTTGAAATAATAACTGAAAAAATGCTAAAAAATAAAACAAAACAGAAATTTCTACATTAAAGAATAATGATAAATAAAATTTAAATTTAAATTAACGAAGATTAATATAGATTAACATCATTTTAATCTTATCAAATGCATTTAATTCTTTAATCTTATATAACACAATTAAATATGGTACCAACCTCTTATATATATGTACCTTTTTATCAGTTTTTAAGCGAATAATCGAATCAGATTCTGTTTAAAAAGCACTCGGGGATGATCTCCATCCGTTTTCACAACAGAATTTAATGCTTAAAGTCATATTTTATAAGAAAAATCGCGGTCATCGCTCCTATATCTGCCTGTTCGTTAAGCCTCGTGAGTTGTGAAGCAGACGACAATCATACGAGAAAACGTCGTAAGCTGTGCGCGCGCTGTTACGTCTCGTCTCATTTTGCATACCAGTTGCTAACTTTCTCCGTAAGGCGCGCCAGCATCGTTATGTCGTGAAGCAATTTAAAATAATAAAAATAATATTTATGTTTCTTTTCTTTCATAAATATTTTTATATTTTTAGCGCAAATTAATTTATATCGTTAATAATAACGAATTTTTTTTCCGTTTCTGGCAAAGCTTGATCGAAATTCGCTATTTTTTTAAATTAATGACGTAACTCGATTAATTGTATTTAAATACGTGTTGGGTTAGCGATTGTCATCATCGTCAATATCATCATTATAGAAAATCTTTCGTGGAAATTATCATTAGTGGTGTTATCAGTTGTCATTATTATTATCTATATCATCGGTAGAAGCGAATTATTTCGCCATGCGACCGGAAAGTAGACATATCGTTTCGAATCATCATCGGAGCTAAATTGTTCCATAGATCATCGTTATGAAAATCGCCATTTTAATCATTAAGGTTAACAGAACAAAAAGAAAAAACTATTAACTTATCAATAATTCTAAATTGTTTCATCGAAACATCATCATTATCTGTGTTAAACTGTTTCATTTATCATCGTGGAGTTATCATAGATGATCAATAAATAACTTTATTTATATTATTTGAACTAATTAATAATTGAGTTATAAAGTTTATAATTCAATTATCCAAAGTCTGTAATTCAAATTGTAAAATAATTTGAATAATTGTATTATAGATTTTTTTGAAGCATCATCATCATATTGCTTTTTAGCATCATCAGATTTCTTTTCAGCATCATTATATTGCTTTTTAGCATTATCATATGACTGTTCATCATCATATTTATCATCTTGGTGTTACTATAAAATTTATAGATGATCATTTGGCAATCTTAACTGATCAATAGAAATAGTAATAGTCTATATTAACTATTAGTATTATTTAAAATTTTAGGAGTAAATTTAAAATATTCGATTAATTATCAGTATCATCATTATCTGACTAATATTATTTTATTTATCATCATAGAAGTATCAGAAATGCTCAAAAGGGTCATTTTATTTGTATTATTTGAATTAATTAGTAAATAAAATTCATATATTATACAATATGAAGTTTAATTTGAATAATTTAGTATCATCGTTAGCTGACTTGATAGAGTTTATGTAATTAGCATAGATGATCAACAGGTAAATTTATTTATATTATTTAAACTTAATTCCGAACTGATTCGAGTACAGTTACTTATAATGATATTATTACATAAAGATAAGGGTTATAACACTATCCACNTAGTATCATCGTTAGCTGACTTGATAGAGTTTATGTAATTAGCATAGATGATCAACAGGTAAATTTATTTATATTATTTAAACTTAATTCCGAACTGATTCGAGTACAGTTACTTATAATGATATTATTACATAAAGATAAGGGTTATAACACTATCCACTATCACTATCATCTGTGCTAACCTATGAGTAGATCTATATCCGGTTGACCCAATATAGTAAAAGTAAACAGTTTTCAGTCACTACAGATCCACTATACCAATTTAAGATGGCTAAACTGACTTAAACCAGTAAAATAAGCCATAAGAAATAGTAATAAATAGCATTTTAAGACGTTAGAAAGTGTCTTTAATTCAGCCAAGTGGTATAGAAATTCAATTTTTTGTCGTAGCATAGTAGATTAGATCGAAACTAGATACATTAATGAAAAAAAAAATTGCATTCTCTTGCTCGATTTGAAATTTTTAAGGATGAGGAAAATAAAACTGGTTCCGCTATAAAATTCTCGGGAATGAATAGAGGATGACGTGGTTTTATGTTGCTCAAACATTCCTTCAAACCCATCATCCAGCCAATCCCCTAACTATACTTAAACTGGATTAATCTTCTGTACAGTTTATCTCTTAAAATTTCGATAGAATTCCAAGAGATAAACTGTACAGTACAAACGATATTCTTATACTGAGATTATTTTTATTACTCTTAAACTTCTGTTATTAATATAAATTTATTTAATTTTTTTACCCCAATATTTAAATCTGTTTCATACAATATTAACTTCCTACCAACATTAAAACAGGTTAAAACTAAATAAATGTAGTTAAATAATCATAAAATCTTACTAAATAGTCAAAAACTGCATACACTTTTCTTAGTTTTAATGGGTTTTAATTGAATTTTAATCATTAATCACTCAAAATTTCTATGCAGTTTTTACAACTCGGAGCAGACAATACTAAAACTGAATCAACATTAAAGTTAAATTCAATTAAATATTTGGCTTCATTAACACTTAATTAACAGACAAAAGTTATTAACTGTGCTTTTTAATTAAAAACAAAATAAATATTTTCACTAATTTAAATCCCTTCTGTACAGTCTCTACCATTCTATCAATAGCAGGACAGGTTGACATTGGCTATATAATAACTATAGTTGAATAATTATTAAAACTTATTAAACAGTCAAAAAAAATTTGATTTTTTCCTCAAAATTTATGCAAAAATTATGCAATTTTACTAGTTTAATAGTTACAGAATTGATGCAGAACAGGTTCAACTATGTAATTAAGTCTACTAACAGAATAACAATTTTTAAATTTTAAGTTTTAATAGAGAAATTATTTATATATGATATTAAATTTAATTTAAAAACATTTAGAATATTTTAAAATAAAGAAATAATTAATTTTTAAAAGGTCAAATACCTTCTAGACTGAAATTCAGTTACTGCAATGATGTACAGTAAACTTTATTTGCTACTGACAAATTTATTGCAAGTTAAATAAACAAATTTCAATGTTTTAAATTGATTCAAAGGATATATTTCTATAAATAAATTGATTTTTACAACATGTAGAAGTAAAAATAAAGTGGTTTTATCAAATAAAACATCTCCATATATACATAAAATATTTAAAATAAAAATTATGTATAAATCTGTATGTGGAAAATTCACTTGGAAAAGAAATTAATTTATAAGAATTATTTAATTAAATCTGGGAGAAGAATTTATTATATTTTTTAATTCGGAGGGCCTTCAAATGTCGAGAAATGCAAACAATTCGGGGATTTTTTTCTGCATTAATGTGTGGGGGCACGATTTTGTTCACCCGCTTTAAAGCTTAATAATTGCTGTGCCTTTTGTCGAAAATTTCTGAAATTTTGCAGGGAGGTTTGTGTATTAAGGGCATTGATGCCATTAAATTTTGGTGGTTAAAGGTCAAGGGGTGGAGATTGATAGAGCGGGTCACGTGACGCATCTCGAGTGGGATCAGACTTAATGAAAATTTTACTCGTTAATAGCATTTTAAATTTATTTTTTAAAATAAAACTCACCTCTCTCCACAATATTACAATTTTTGCCATTTTATAATAATAATAATAACAATATCACACAATTTTAAATTTTTTGCCGGGAAAATTGTGCAACTCGTTGTTGTAATTGGGCAGTGATTAAGAATAATTACTCGAAAAAATGCTTAAATTTCTTGCTACTTTTAGAAGAATTTATGCAGTTTTTAAGTGTTTAGTAAGCACAACTATGGCTTAAAAAAAGAGGAGAAAAATTCAAAAGTAATAAAATTACACGAAAATAAGGACAGTGTAATCTTACATCAAGCTTAACAAGTCGATTTTTACAGGATTTAGCCATATAAAATACAAGAGTTCTTTGTCTCTGTCACGTCTGTAGCGGATTAATCTAGCAGTTTGAAAAATTCCTTTCCGGTCGAGCGATCTCGTGTGTTGTACTGCACACCCTTACTACTGCAGCTAAGTAATCTCTATCCCAGAATTTATGGTAACGTATAAGGGAGCTTGCAGTCATTTTTAGGGAGTCACCACGGACTTGCTAGTCAGTTGTCAACAGTAATTCGGTCGTCTGTCAGAAGAAGCTAATCGTCCAAAAGTTGTCGCCAGTTAGTTGCTTTTATCTAGATGCTGTTGTAGACAAGCAAAGAGGAAAAAATAATAATAATAACCCCTTGCTAGCAGATAAATCGAGTGTCTGTTGATGATACTAATAGCCCTATTAAGAGATTGTGGATTAAACGGTACTCTAACTTATCCGTGAACCTTTTGCACTGTGTAATCTGAGACCTTATTTCGATTAGTGTGACTTCAATTAAAATTTTTTGCGTTTTTATTACCCTTTTTTTTGGATTCTGTTTGAGTCATTCGCGTGCGAATAGTGTAACATATGGGACAGGATATTTATTATAAGGGTTTACAATGCCGGATTATTTATGTATGCCCCATAAAAATTGTATTTAATTACTTTTTATACCTAGGAATTTTTTCTAGATAATATAAATCAAGTAGGAATAAGTTTAGATTGCTCTTTCTGTTTAAAATTTATACAGGGTGATGAGAAATATATAGGGGAGACCGGGCAAGATCGGCATGTTAAGCTTTACTTAAATTTTGTGTAATAAATACTGCTGTAAACTGAAAAAAAAGCTTTGCATATTGTCTATTGGAATGTTTTCTTACTATAGAACTGGTTAAAATCAGTTTGGAAATAAAAATAATTAAAATAATTACAACTTTACAAGAAGAGAGAAATTGACGAAGTTGCCCCGGGTATAGGGGCAAGATCGGCAACTTCTCTCTTTTTGTAAAGTTGTAATTATTTTAATTATTTTTATTAAAGTTGCCCCTGGTATAGGGGCAACAGTAATGGGGCAAGATAGGCACGTATATAAAATTATGTTATTAACAATGTATAAGTTGGAATTCACTATTAAAACAAAGAAATACAAATCCAACACCCATTTAATATTATTACAACGAAATGCAAGTTCAAAGACATATATACATGAATAACAAATGCAAACATGTTTTCATTTATCATCTGTTTGATTTTTATCCTTTGCTTCTAATGTGGCTTTATGTTGCCGATCTTACCCCGCTAGTCATGATTTCGAAACATTAAGTACAACCCTGAGAACAGAATGCCAAGCCACGATCTGGCCACGTGAATAAGTTGAAGTTACATCCTTCTAACAGGAAAAGTAACTTTCGTTATCATGGAATTATAACAAAACCTGCCAATTCAATATAAATGGAAAAAAAATATTATATGGAATTGAACGAAAATGAAAATTTGCTTGATAATTCAACTACGCTTGTTGGAGAACAATAAAAACACTACACTCAACAAGCCACCAATAAAACTCAACTGCCTAACCTATAACCAAAGTCTCCTTTTAATTTGTTTTAAAAAAAAAAAGCGCTTGACAAACTTGCCCCGCATGCCGAAGTTGCCCCGGTCTCCCCTACAGTTGTGAGTCTGAGAAACAATGTTTGGTGTTCGTTATTATTATTATCTCTTCCTTATTTTTGATTTAATTTATGCATAAAAATGTTTGTTTTTCTATATTTTTCTTGCGTTTCTCCCATAATAACAACTGTATACTTACTTTTTTGCATCCCCTGTATGTACTTATTTAACTATTAACCGTTTATAGTATAAATATTTAACGATTTATTGGTTAAATCTACAAAATTTTATTAAGTTAACTTCGATTTTAATGCATTTTTTCATCGACTTAAATTCTCACTCAATGAAAAATATCATTGTATTATTGACTGCTGCTAGTGATTTATAGAAACGGTGGGATCGTAAACTTCACCCACTCCAACAATATTGTCATTGGATGTCCCGTTGAGTCGACATGTCGTTTATTTTGTGACCTCTATGGGAGTTTTGTGTCAAAGTAAAGCACCTGAAATGACTAGAATTGCTGAGTGCGTGTCATATATCGCAACGGCGTACTTCCCCCATTTTTTTTTTAAGAAAAAAACCTCAATTAGAAATAAACTTTAAAGCATTTCTGTTGATAAACAAGTTAAAACATTTATTGATTAACTCTTCGTAATGCGATCGTCTAGTGTAGTTTACAGCAAAGGTTTGTTGATAAAAAAGGGGAGCAGCAAACCATCACTCCTATAAAGTAGACAGCTCCTTACGCGTATCAATCACAACTGCTTACAGTAATTATCCTTACAGATTGTCAACTAAGGAGAAAAACCTCACTCTACTTTCTTACCACTATTAATGAATCAGTAGTAATGGCGCCGTGCCTAGTTGTCTACTAGTAATTGATTTACAAGCCGTCCCCCCCACATCCGAGCTATCAAAATATACTTAAAAAATGTTACTCTACACAGATTTAAATTCAAACTTAATGTTAAAATAATAATAATAAATGTATATCAGGAGAATTTTTCTGTATTAACGCGGTCTGATACTAAGCTAAAGATAACCTTAACGATATAAAACATTAAATTTTTCGACTTGACCCTAACCAGTATCTGCTTACTTCTACAAAAATTAATGACTGATACCAAACACCGACCTCATTCTCGCTTTCTTCGACACAGTTTTTGAAACTTGTTCGTGTCAATAATATAAAAACAAGAATTAAAAACTTCGTGTATCATATACTTTGAATTATATTTATAGTTTGATGATGCTTACTGTAGGATGATACGGTTTAAGGTCAAGTGCAACAAACTTCCTAGCAAAAATGATTAGTTGTGTATGATTATACATGTTCATATTTACTGTTTATAACGTTAGAAGTTTAATTTTTCGGTTTATATACTGAAAATTTGTGAATTTTCTTACTTATAAATCAGCTGCTTTCAACACGAATTTTCTTTTTATTTTTCCTTATTTTTTAGAATAACATGCAACAAATTCTATAAATCACAAATATTGCTTTGATGTTTCTTTTCGAGAATATAATTTCGTATTGTAGACAATCGGTTTGTACTACTTCTAAGGACTTAAAACTCTGGACCAATGTGATATGTTACGCAGGAACACTGCTATTTTTTTTTTTTTTTCGTATTGGACGTATACAACGTTTGAAAATCCATACAAGGCACTTAATTCCTGATTCGTGTAAAGAAAAGAGTATGCTTCTAAGTAACGTCATCGATGATGTATAACTTGTGGCGAGGTAAACGGAGAGTTCACTTGTTTAACTGCAGTAGTGGGTAATAAATCGTTAGATTCGACGATTTTAGCTGGCCATGAATTCACTTTATTGATCCGATGTGGCCCTTTATTCTTCTTTAACCAGTTATTCATCCTCTGACGTAGCTGGAAAGAAAATTAGAAGACTGTAAACATTAAGAAATTAATATACACGCACCCGTTCATTAGTCAGAAGAGCACGCTTGATGATATTGTTTATGACTCCGTAAAAGCTATACAAAATGTTTAAAAGCTAAAATTAAAGTTTAGATGCGATAATTTAATTATTTTAGCTTTGTACAGCACCGTGTGACGTGTACGATTCTGTTAATAAGTCCCTTTTTTATATAGATAATTCGGAGTAACAGCTTACCAAATCATCACTGACAACTCTTAGAATCAGTATGAAGAGTCCTAAGAAGAAGGAAACGACTACGAATGCCGTGATTAAGGCTGAATCTTTTTTATCAATGCCCACGATTCCCGTTGCCCAAGCTACGACTGTTAATATATATATACAAGCAGAAGCCCATCTAGACGAGAAGAATATCCTGGAATGATAATTAATTAACATCAATGTATATCGAAACCCGAAAGTGCAGTTAATCGTACAAAACACTCTACTCAACTGCGCCCTTTTCATATCTTGTGGTACAGTTATGGTATCCCTGGTTTCTGCCGCTAAAAACACTAATAAATATAACAACGCTTGAAGTATGATGAATATACAAATTGGCACAACCGTCGGAGCCATGGCGGAGCCAGAAAGATCCAACCAGCAGCTGAAAATGAGGGAGAGGAAATGCTTAATTTTATGTTAGAGAAACAAGCCTTTATCAATACAGGACTTACTTTTCGGTCGTCTTGACGTAATCGTTTCTTACAATAATCGCAGAAATGCTTGTAATTACGGTCGGAATACCTAATTAATGATAATGCTGACTTCATAACCAGGGTTATTGCCGATGTAGCTCGGTTAATTGCCTAGAAACTAGAAGGTAAACTTACCCCACCCAAGTAATAAAAGAGACCAAGGTTTAGTGAGGATATTTGGAGAAAAACACGGGGTGATTAATCGGCACATAGAAACCACTTCGAGCAACATGAATAAAAAAACGACTTGAAAAGAAAACTGCAAGAAGATGGCAGTCGCCGTACACAACGTAAGACGATATCCAGAAGAAGGCTGTAAATAAATGAATTTCTAGTCTCAAATTATGCTCGCGTTATGCTCTTATACATACCTCGACTCGTACATACATCACCAATGCTTTCGTCTGTTAAAAGTATGCAAGTATAAGCGACTATCAATGCCAGTTCAGCGCATATTTGTGCCAGGCAGTCTTGGAAAAACATCCTGAGCGTGAGGATTTGAATATAACAATTGAAGAAAGGTAAAGTAATATTGATAAAAATTTAGTGCAGTACACAATCTGTACTCACCCGAAAACGACATAGATGACTAGAGTCATACCAACCAAAAATGTAATCCAGGTACAGCAAATAATTTTTGCAAGCATGAGTGGATACAAATCGTCGTAATCGAAACTGCCCTGTACGAATTATATTCCCGTCTGTTATTTTTATTATTTTTTTTTAATATTCTAAATCTTTCTACTTACCAATCCTGCCCGGGAGATCGGTTTCGGAGCTAGAAAAAGGGGATAAAAATCATTTAAATTGACGTTGTAGTTAGGTACTCTTTCGGATATTTTCCTGTATAAACTGTTTTCGAAAATACTTTTAGCTTCCCGAGTGAATCGATAAATCATTCAGCGATGTTATTTATAGAGAATTATATACATCGAACCTCGGAACAACGGCCACTGACGGGAATGTAAAAAAATGGCCGTTGTTCGGAGGTTATTTTGTACACATTTTGCGTACAAAATAAATTAGAACAAAACAAAAACAAAAGTATTGTAGAACATAGAACACAAATTTTATTCTACGTTCCTGAAAAATAACCTCTAAACAGTGGCCATTTTTTCAGAAACGTATTTTTCGATAACTGTTTACAGGTGACCGCTGTTGGAGGTTCAACCGTATAAATTAAACGTTTAAATATTTCTTGGTACAGGAATATTTAGAATTTGGACTAAAAAGATACGTGAAAGTAGAATAAACACGATCAAAGACTAAAATATACGTAAAAAGATATGAATACAAAAATTAATGATATTTGCATAATTATATAATATTTTTATTTATTTATTCAACCAAATTTATTCTATGACCATTGGCGTTTTTCAAGGGTCTGAGAAAAACAAAAGATACAGACATATATATGATATACAATCAACAAAACAATAAAAAGAACAGAGAAAAGTTATTACGCAAATTGTATCAAATAAACCTTAATCGTTTATACAAAATTGAATTGGAANCAAGGCTTTATTTTTAATTTTTTTAAATTTAAGGAGGAAATATTTTTATATTTTTCTTACTCTAAGATAATTTTTTGAGTAATTTAAATGTCTAGAGATAAGATTTACAGTTAGAATCTACTCACAACTGCACGTCACATGTCTGAAAATTTAAATTATCTATGAAAAAAATCGTCCTACAATTTAATAATTTATCAAAATTGTTTCTAATTATATTATTTCGAGTAAATAGCATAATTTTAAGACGATAATTTGAATAGAATTATAAATTAAATAAGAACCTAAAATGAAGATTTAACATCATTTTAAGCTCGTATGTAATCTATAATTACGCTAAAATTATCGTCTTAAAATTTGTAAAATAGTTGCGGAAGCACGTAGACGAATTTATGAGTTTATCATTAATGAGATTAGTCGAAAAATTTAATTTTGAAACTTTATTCCATAACATACAGCAAAGAGGATAACTAAGCGAAACATTTTATCATTGAAATGTGTTTTTTAAAGGAAAAGAGATGTCTTTTATTAATTAAAAATTAAAAATTTTAGTTAAACGACATGAAATTGTTAACGATCAAAGATATTTTTTAATAGTAAACGTTTCATTTACCATTGAAATCACTTCCAATTCGTTTACCATTCGTGAATCAACCATTCGTTCACAATTGAATCCAATCATTCATTTACAATCGAACCGAATTACTTAGTTACCATTGAATCGAACCATTTACTTACCATTGAATGGAACACTTATTTGCCATTGAAATGAACCATGCGTTTACTATTTCAAATTATGATAAATGAAATCGTGAAATGGTAGAAAAAATTAATCAGAAAATCCCCATTGTTTCAAAATTCTTAATCTTGTAACAATTAGATTTATTTCATGAAATTATTTATTGTTTTTTTTTAATTTTATTTCATTTCGTGAAGATTTAATCCTTTAACTCCGTTAATTTAGTAATATTCGTAATACAGTATTCTTCAATAAAAATAAATTATCGAAAATTGCTAAAAGTAGTTTCGTGCTTGAACATAAGAATTTCTTTCGAGTAATTAAAAGAAATTCGAAACATAAAAGTAAATTAAATCGTAAGGAAATATTTTGTTTATGTAGTGATAAAAATTTGTAAAAATTATTTTTAAATACAAATTTTAATTACTTTATCGTAAAGAAAAATATTTATCTAACATCACTTTTTACGATTAGTTTATCAAGATCTTTTATAAATAAAACTAAAAAATATTTAGTTTTTTAAAAGAAATTTCTTCTCAAATTACACTTTTTATCATTTGTAATAATGTCAAAATTTTGATCGATTACATTTTTTATATTTATTTTAAGATGATTTGTTTTCTTTTACATAACTTGAATTCCATGTAAAAATATAGAATGTTGAAAAGCTATAAATGTGATAGATGTGTATAAATCATTACAGCTATTCAACAAGATGTAGATGTTGGAAAGGTGTAATATTCTAAATACCTGTAGTTGCAGCTTTCCAACAAACTGTATATGTGTATAGAATGTGTAATGCATTAAATCAGTGCAGCTTTCCAACAAGCTGCACTGATTTAATGCATTGTGGCTTACAACATTCTAGTCTACTTTGACTTCTATGCACATCTATAGCTTTTTGGAAAGCTGTAATAATTTAAAACTTTCACTTTTTCAACATTCTATACACATGTAAGCCTATATACTGTTCGAAAAGTGCAATAATTTAGAGAGTTATAGCTTTCTAACATTCTGTAATCTAATCTGAATTCTATTCACATCTAAAGCTTGTTGAAAAGTTGCAATTATTTAAAGCAATAACCTAAACTTAATTTCATATAAAACTACAGTAATTTATAACATTGCAACACTAATTTTATTTGAACTCCGTATAAAAACTACAGAAACTTGTCTTGTCTGAAATTCAGACATTCCAACAATAATGCTGGAAAGTTGGAAATACTTTAAATCGTTTCAGCTTATCATTATTCTACACTCCAACCTGAATTTTATACAAATTTGTAGAATATTGAAAAGTTTCAATGATTTAAACCGTTTAAATATAGGCCTATATTATTGAACTCTTTAAATGATTTAAAGTGCAATTTTCACGTTATAGAATTGCTCACTTAGTTAATTTAAACATATTTTAATCAATTTAGAACATAAAAAAAATGTGTTATAACTGGTTAGATAATGATTAACTCGTAACTTTCTCTTCAGAAATAATTAAGGAAATATATTATTTACCTTCTTTTGACAGGCTGGATTTTCTCATGTCGGTCCAAATACTGGATTTTTGAGAATTAAATAATGATTTAACACGTGGATTATTGTTTAAAGAAGGATCCACTAGACCTCCACCCGACTGGCGACATAGAGAAATGGCATCTCTCCACGGTTTCTTCTCTTCCGGAATCCAAAAACAATCTAAATCTTTTTGTATCTGCTCCGGTTTACACGTGGGATCTGAGAAATTAATTGTGATAAATTATTTTCTCGGATTTATTAGGTTTAAGCGCTTTAAGCTTAGCCGATTTACGCGACGTGATGCAACGAGAGCGAGTTTTAACTCGCTCTCGTTGCATCACATGCTGGTGCCTGTACAATTTTCTACTTTTGTAACGTTAATATAAGACTTACAGGCGATAAAATTCGTTGTGTGGTTGAAAGGCTCGTCTTCGTCTTCGTTGTTAACGTTCACTTTAATGGTATAATTTGCCCCTGGTTTAAGCCCCGTTATAGAGGTTCCGCTGGGTTTACCGATGACTTTTTCAACTGGTATCTCTTTCCCCGTGTCTCCGATTTCGTATAAAGTGATGTTTATTGGAGTGCCTTCTTTATCCATAAATTTGGGACTTACAATAGTCATTTCTCCGTCTTCGTTGATCTCGAACTGCAAAGGGCTGCGAGTATCTACACAAAATGATTTTTCTTATAAATTAATATCGCTAATTAAAACTTACGACACAGTTAACATTGCTTAACATATCTTAAATATACAACAAATTAATAAAATTTTTTTTATCAGATTTATCCGTCTATCACACTTTACAGCTATGTTAAAATTATTTACGAAGCGATTCGCCTGCGACTACAAGCGTGCTCGCCAAGCGTCTTGTAATGTAATCGAGATGGGTTGATAATGATAATAATAAGCGCAGAGCCCAAACGGTTAGTTAATACAATTTTAAACATTGAAAAAAATGCATAATTTACCCCAGTCGAAAAGAAAATCTTTTCTACTACTGTTGTTTACTTAAAAACATATTATTTTCTTTTAAAATTAAGTAATCGATTCAGCGTGTATCACACGACAGTCGCATCGCTGATCGATTTCGATGACGCGACTGTATTTGAGTGATAGCTTATGGATATTAAAATCTTTTTCAAAAATTAAAGGCTTATTTTAGAATTCGGTTTAAATTAGTAATTTGAAATAAGAATTATTAACTATTCAGAATAAAATATCTTTTATCACGCTCGTCGCGTCACGAATCGCGACTTGACGCAACGAAACACGATAGAAATTCATATTCAAATCATAGAAAGAAATGGTAAAATTTATTATTTTTATTATACTTAAAGTAAGCAAAGCAATAAATTATTAATTTCTTTTCAATGTTATCCCCATACACTTTAAAGCGCCAAAATTCTTGAAAATTTGGGAATAATTTTTTGTCTATATTTAGAATTATCTAACTTATAGTCTAACTTGAATCCTGTATGATAATACATAAATGCTGGAAAGCTTTGATGATTTAAAGAACTGAAACCTCTAGCATTCTGCAGTCTGACCTGAACTCTATAATAGTACACAATACACACAATTTCCAGCATTACGTACTTTTATACAATGATTTAAAGCACTTCAACTTTTGTATACTTCTAAACAACATTCTAATAATGAAAAAGTATAATTTTATACAACTTACACGAAAGTTGGTGGCATGAATCATAGCATAGAATAGAACAATAAATGCTGAGAAACTTTAACATTACTATTAATCAAGTATTTAACAAGCAAACGAGTCAGCGAAACTTTTAAAGATCATTAATCTTTCAACAATGAAATCCGCTTAAAGCAATTTTTATTTCTTTTCAAATATGCTTACAAATGTTTGCTTAAATCAAACAAATTGTTTCGTTTGTTTGTCATTACTGCCAATAAGTTATTCTCTAAATTGAAAATTAAACAAATATCTTTAGCGGAGGGTGTTTTTGCAACGCGCTCTACAGACTCTGAACAATTGTGATTAATTTATCTTTCCTAATGAATCTTTAACCTTTCGAATGAAAGATTCTATTAATGTATTAATGTTACAATTGTATTCGTGTTCTAAACAACTAAGATTCTCTTATACTACATGCATTATCTGTCTAAGAAGCTAGGTATGCAGATTTTCAAACTGTATTTCATTAAGTAAAATGGAGAATTCGGCTCGTTTTCAAGTAATTTAAAAAATATTTTTCCAAATTTATATAGTGTAAACCATTTGATGAAAGTGGAAACAATGGTACACACTTAAATGTAGAAGCTATTTACGAGTCTCTACTTTTAATTTAGGTAATGATAACACAAAGAGAATGGAACAGGTGAAAATGGCTTGGTCAATCACAAATAGGATCCTCAATCCCTTTTTGAAAGCCATAAAAATATACGAATTAAATCAGCAAGTAAAGAAATTTTTAAAATTTCAACAACGAGTTGCATAACTTTCCCATCAAAAAAGTTAAAATTGTGTGTAGAGCCATCTGTTATTATATGATATTTCATTTTAAAAATTTTATGAAATGGCAAGATATGTAATTTCGAGGGTAGAGTAGAGATAAGTTTTATTTTTGAAAAAAATTGTAAGCGCTAGTAATGAATAAAATCATTGTTCGATCCCACTCGAGATATGACACTTAATCCCTCCTTTATCTTCCCACCCCTTCGATCTTTAACCACTAAAATTTAATAGCATCAATCTTCTTAATATAAAAACCTCCCTGAAAAATTTCAGAAATTTTCGACAAAAGGCACAGCAAAAACAATCAAGCTTCAAAATGGGTGAAGAAAATCGTTCCATTCCCACACACGCAATAAATCCATACCTTGCATATGCAGAAAAAACCCCAACTTTTTTCGGAATTTTTCAATGTTTTGAGGGTTCCCGAGTAAAAAAATATAAAAATCTTGGGTGGAGGGGTAGGTTTTTGGCCGTCGCTGCTACATATGGCAGTCAGGAAAGTAACAAATTTGTCTCCACTTATTAATACAAACTAAATTATCTCACTCTCCTATCGTGTTTATATATAATAGACTAAACTCTGGGGCCTTCTGTATCAAGAGCCCGGTCTGAATGACTCTTCTGGTCCTTTATTTGGACCTGAGGTCACAATATCTTCTTCAAACCTCGCATTTTATTGGTGTTAATTATTCAATCAACTTGCCTGCTCTCCTGTCTCCTCCAATCAATAGAATCCTTCCAGTTTCTTGCAAATCCCCACTAATTTATCAAAAATGTAAACATTCTATCGAGGCTGGGCTTACATTTATTGTGGTCCTAAACTTTAACATATAGTAGGCCCTTTCACTCCACCAAATTATATTACATGTAAAAATGTGGGATCCTAAATTGCACCTTATTTAGCTTATGTGCAAATCCAGTCAGGTGTTCTATAATTTGCATTATTTAGTTAATTATTATTATTTTATTAACAGTGATGAAATTTTGTATTGTACAACTGTTCTGGCTTTATACTGAGATATAATTATTCATTAAACATTGAGGTATTCTTACTTTTCTGGGTTTTATATATAATAGACAGAAAGTATGGTTATCGATCAAAAACAATTGCCACCCCAAGACTTTTAGATTTTTGGACTTAAATGACCTTCAAATGTCGAAAAATGCAAAAAATTCGAGGGGTTTCCAGTATCTATGGATGTAAGTGTTTGGGGGGGCACGATTTTGTTCGCCCTCTTATAAGCTTAATAACTCCTGTGCCTTTTGTCGAAAATTTCTGAAATTTTCCGGGGAGGTTTGCGTATTAGATGGGTTGATGCTATTAAATTTTGGTGATTAAAGGTCGAGGGGGTGGAGAGATAGAGGTCACGTGTCGTATCTCGAGACACGTGACCTGTTAATAAAGCTTTTACTCGCTAATAACGAGTACAATTTACAATTTTTTTTTATAAAACTCATCTGTACCCTCAAAGTTAAGCTTTTTACCAGTTTATAATAATAACATAAAAAATCATTAAATAAAATCTTATAACAGATGGCGCCACACACAATTTTAACCTTTTTTCCTGGAAAGTTAAGCAACTCATTACTGGATTTTTATTATTCATTTATGAATAATACGTCAATTAGGCACTACAGTCAACTTATTTATACACCGATATAAGTAAAGCCATGCGGCACGAGATTACAACCCCCATATAACAAACAAAATATCAATTAAAACAATTAACCTACCACCTACAATTATTAAGTTTAAAATAATTTAAATTGATAAAATAGCATAATTTATATTGAATTTCTTAACAGTTACCTTCTAAAGTTGTTGAAGTAACTTCCTCGTAATTTCCAGTAAGACTCTCAATTACAAATGGTGCCACGGATACCACGTAGGTTCTTTCGGGCTTTAATTTTGTTATTTTATATTCTACATCGAATAACGTGGAATTTCCTTTATCTTTCGATCTTCCATTCCACTTTTGTGGAGTCCAAGTTACAGAATAGGATTTTATCTTCCAAGAAGTTTTCGGTGGTTCCCATTTAATCCACAAAGAATCGTAAGTGGCATTCACAACTCTGTAATTCTGAACTGTTCCTAAATCGACTGTTAATATAATTATCGTTTTAAAAACGAGAAAACTCGTAATAATCATTTTCTACAATCGACTATTCTCACTTGGCACATTTTTTTGGCATATGACCATCATGTCTTCACTACAGCACGAGCAGGTTACAATCCCAGCTAAAGTATTGAAGGAACAACATTTGGCTTGTAGTCCGTCTTGACTATTAAAAGTTTCGTCTCCTGGACATTTCTTTTCTATAATTTCGACTGAAATGAACAGGAATAATTAATTTGGAAGTCAGGAAATGAGTTTAAACATTTGGCTGAAGGTATTTAATATATACAGTCTGAGTTAAAATCAATGACGGATTAAGCTAAGTAGGCTTATGCCTAGGGGCCTGAGGGCAAAGAAAGCAAAATGGTTCGATTGAATGTATACGAGAGTATATTTTTACGTATCTAGAATATAACAAATTCCTAAATTAGGCTACTAACACATATTCGGAAGTACAGTAAAACCTCGATTATACGTTTTTAAGTCTCGCTTGGCATGTGTGGCACATGACTAGAGAGGCATGATTTAGGAGGACCCGAAATTGTAGAAAATAAAACAATTTTGTCTCCGCAATTTATAAATAAAATTCCATAACCACAGTTACACGTTACAACAGCAGTTTACGATATAAAATTATGTAAAAGGGTCCCAATATCCTGTGCCCAGAGGTTCCGGAAAGTCGTAATCCTCCACTGTATAAGTACTAACTTTGTTTTATGTTTGTAAAGACGAAGCGACACATGGGCAATGCCTCCCGAGAGGTCTTTCTATAGGAAAATGGTTCTTATTTAAGTGTTAAAAGCGTGAAGAACATCACGAAAACTCTACGTGTCGAGGTGCGAACCAACGACAAACTCGGTGTTCAGTGGTTTTATCCACTCGTATACTGGTGGGCTGAGATACTAACTTATAAGACAATTTACTGGTAACTCATTGTGTAACTTCCCGAGTTAATACAGTGAAAAAATAATGGCGTTATTAAATTATCAATTAAAATTTACCCTCTTCAAGTGCTAAAGATGAAACGTTAACCCAGTACGAAGTGTTTGCTATAAGAATTAAATATTCTTTTAACGAATAGAATTCAGACTTTGTCGTAGGGCTGAATAGAATTCCATTTTGTTGAATACATTCGTCGTTGGCTACAGATCTGATGAATCTTCCATTTAACACCCAATAACACTTGTACGTCACTTGATATTCCTCTTCTCTACAAGAAGGATCTGTAATAATTTAGTAAATAGTGTACAGAATTATAGAATATAAATTATTTTTAAGATCTTACATCAATTCTCAAGTGCAGTACTTCATTCAATATAGATTTCATGGTCCCCATCTCTTAAGAATTGAATAAGATAGGGCATATTTTTAAGTAAAAAAAAATCCAATGTTTATTAAAGTTTTAAGCGTCACGCTTCCTTTTGATCATCTGAGTGTCTATCCGCGGCTTATAAATTAAACTTTGATCTATTTCTAATACGTTTTTAATAATATATTACTTAAAATAATTAATTTTATTACAGTTTTTCATATCGAAAAGGTGTTGGGATTACGTATATCTACTCATTTATAATTAACTATTAAATTTAGTGAATAATTCAAATTATTGTTTAAGACAAGTCGTAATTATCAAATGGAATATTTATTAATATAATTACAAAGAGAAAAATAAGTACAAAATATTCAAATTATCATATTACAAATCACTAGAAAATGGGTGTAGCTTTGCAGTTATCAATGTTTACGAGCAAAAAAAACTGGTGGCAAAAAAATAAAAACTAGTTAAAGCTAATACTTGACACTATTTTGTAAGGAAGAAAATTAAATATTTTAATTAATAATAATGAATTTAACGAGAAATTCATTATTATTAATTAAGAAAAGGCACTTTTAAACAAATTTAAATCTTGTAATTTAAGAAACTTATCGAAATTCCACAAAACAGCATTCCTTATTTTTGAATATCTGTAGCCTATATACAATACTTAAAATATGTATGTATGTGCTGTACTGTACGTATGTATGTTAGATAAAGGGTTTTAACGTATCCGCACCAAATTTGGCATGTATATTCTTCGATATCCTAGAAAAATATTGTGGGGTCCCAGCCTCAACCACCCCTAAAGCTCTCATCATCCTAAATCCCGCTCCTCGACCACCCTAAAGCCCAACCCCTGTTAATTTAAGTTCGAGAAAGCGTTAACTTAACATTGCACGTACGTTTTAGTTAATAATACCATTATTTTATCATTCTCTTCTAACTGAACCTTACTAATTCTTCACCCACTTAACGTCCAAGCAATACCAAGAACGTGCAGTTATTTTGCCTATAAATTCAATTATCTACAGGAAATTTTCATGAACATCTTGTATTCGTGATGCAAAATTTTTATGCAGATCTCTGCTGATAATTCGTGACAAATCGCTTCACTTTTTTTTTAACCTTTACGCATCCGTTTCCCGTGTTTAATTATCTCATTATAATTAATAATTAACAAAATGTAGCACGAGCGTATACTTCTCTCCTTTACTCCTCATTAAAATTCTTGTAAAAGTAGAATTTAGCGAGGGGTAAAGGTCTGAAAGTAATCTTTGCTCCGCTTGTACAAGTGTAAACTTTTGCATTCTTTCTTTAGCGTATGAGATATTTTCATATTTTACAACCACACGTTTGAAATTTCTGCCTCTGTAGATAAAATTTTTACTTTCCTATAACATATTCGCGAATTTTAGGGTTCCTTCTATGCTCAGAGGTCGTACCAAAATGTTTCCTTTTACCTTCTCCTACTTATTTTGCAACCTCACACCTGTTATTTCTTGTAAATTTGTGAAATTTTTGCGGCTTCCTGTAAATATATTTACTCGAAGCTAGGAACATTAATTTGTGAACGTAATAATAATTAACACTGATAGCAATTATCACAATACAGTAATTGGTTATTTATGGACTTAGAAAACCATAAAATTAACTAATTACTTTAAACTTTAATAGTTTAAAGTGTTATATATTTTTTGTTGGTAATTCTTCGAATAAAATACTTTAAATTGTTAATATTTAGACCTTTTTCAGTTAATTTTTGTCTTTTTTAACAGTTGTCTAACTATACTAAACCCCTCGATATAGCGATCTCGCAAATAGAGCCACTCCTCGTAAACTACCAACCAATATTGACTCGTGAACTAAATCACTAAATGACGTGACTTTCAAACTCTAGACCTTGTTATTACATATAATTCTTGTTATTTGAAGTATTTCGGCTCAGAGCTGCATTCGATTTAGTGCCATAGAAGTCGAACAAATGATGGCGCTAAAACGAAGTTCGATTGTACTAGTGTAT